AGACATGAGTCAGACATGGGCCCTGCCCATGGGGAGACCAGTACTGGCAGATGACCAGGCTACAAAACAGAATAAAATGACCTTTCTGAGATGTGGGAGGCAGCGTGGTGTAGGGGAAAGAGGGAGGGCAGCAGGATTCAGACAGACCTGGGTTCTGACTCTGATGCAGCTCCTTCCTGGCTGGGTAACCTTGGCATGTTGCATAATGTGAAATGATTACGATGATAATAGCTAACATTTGCATGGCGCTTCCTTTGGCCCAGCACTGTTTTAGGTGTTTCAATAATTATACATTTATTATATATTTAGGTATAGTAACTCAATCCCTAACACTTCCTTGAAATCTGTACAGCTACATCCCATTTTACAGAAGAGGAAATGAAGGCACGAAGAAGTTAAAGTTCTTTTTCGAGGTCATGCAGCTAGTGGATTCAAACCTAGCAAGGCAATGGCTCACCTTTGTGGTGGTGCATATGCAGGGCTGGCCCCAGAAGTGCCCAGCACCAGAAGAAGGCCTTTTATTATAAGCAACTCTTAGGGCTTCATGACAAATGAGCATTTAAATAAGTGTTTCCTCATCAGTGCTCCATGTTTAGTGTCACTGATTCTCCATCTTCCTGGCAGATTTGGGCACGTGAGCGTGGCACACCTGCTTCTGGATCATGGGGCTGATGTCAATGCCCAGAACCGGCTGGGGGCCCGTGTGCTCACTGTGGCCTCTCGGGGTGGCCACCTGGGCGTGGTGAAGCTGCTCCTGGAAGCTGGTGCCTTCGTGGACCCTCACAACCCCTCAGGCGAGCAGCCGGCGGCAGGGGACAGCAGGAACGAGCTGCTGGACATCACAGCCCTGATGGCTGCCATCCAGCACGGACATGAGGCCGTGGTGCGTCTGCTGTTGGAGTGGGGCGCGGACCCCAACCACGCGGCACGGACTGTGGGCTGGAGTCCGCTGATGCTGGCAGCACTCATTGGAAGGCTGGGTGTGGCCCAGCAGCTGGTGGAGAAGGGGGCCAACCCCGACCACCTCAGTGTGCTGGAGAAGACTGCCTTCGAGGTCGCGCTGGACCGCAAGCACACGGACCTTGCAGATTACCTGGACCCACTGACCACCGTCAGGCCCAAAACAGGTCAGACCGCTTCCCTTCACTCTCTCCCCCACTGTGGCTTCACGGAGGACCCTAAATTGTTTTTTTTTTAACATATTTTTATTGATTTCAGAGAGGAAGGGAGAGGAAGAAAAAGATAGAAACATCAGTGATGAGAGAGAATCATTGAGCAGCTGCCTCCTGCACACCCCACACTGGAGATGAAGCTCGCAACCCAGGCATGTGCCCTGACCGGGAATGGAACCGTGACCTCCTGGTACATAGGGTTGACACTGAACCACTGAGCCATGCCAACTGGGCTTCAGCTCACTTTTGAGGTTTTTCAGCACCTAGTAATGTGTCCTATTTCTTTTTTTGCCATCTTTCTGGCATTTAAAGAGCTGTTTGAACAATCCTTAGCAAATCTGCCATAGGACACAGTGCATTTCAAAACTTCCAGTTCATCAGGTGCAGTAGGACCGTGAAATGCCGTTTCACACACAGCCTCCGTACCCTCGTTCTGTGATGGGTCTGACTTCAGTGACAGGCGGCCCAGGCTGTAATGACAGGTTGCAGTGTATAAGCGTCTAGGACTGAAAGGTGAAAATCTGAAGGAAAAGCCAGCTGAGGGACCTTGGATGGGTTGCCTGAATTCACCTAGCTTCTGTTCTGTCGTCCACAAATGGGGGACAGGAGTAGCACCATGTCACAGGACTGCTGTGAGGACTAAGTGAGGTCACCTGGCCAAGTGTGGGTACTTGAGAGGTATTGGGAGCTGCCAGCCCCCTGTTATTGTTACTGTTGTCATATTTGACAGGATCGGGTCATGGCTATGGGTACGGACTTCCTCGTTGAGCAGACCCAGGTTTGAAGCTAGTTCTTCACCTTGTGGCTGGATGGACTGAGGCATGTTCATTGTCCCTTCAGGACTGCAGTGTCCCCTTTCCCCAAAGAATCATAACACATGTGCTTACCTTGTAAGGTTCTGTGAGCAATAGTAAGGGAGGTGCCTGTAAAATGTGTATCTAGCACCTGGCACATAGTTAGCACTCACTAAGTAGATGATTATAATAGGTTTTAATTGACCATCGTTCATGTAGTTAGTATGAGTGCCTACACTGTACCAGGCACTGCTCTCAGTACGTGGGATAAGTCAATGAGCAAATCAGTCCCTGCCACTGAGAACCTTGGCAATAAACAGGAACTAGAATAGAATATTAATTAAATAAAATAAGCTGCACAGCACGATAGGTAGTGTCGGGGGCAAGGTAGAGGGTTTGGAGTGGTCCAGTGGGGGTGATGCACAAAGAGGTCCTGGCCTCCTTGAGGAGGTGAGACTTAAACTGACTCAGGAGCTGAGGGAACATGCCATGCGGGCTGTCAGGAGAGTCTTCAGGTAGGACAGCAACAAGGACCAAGGCTGCGTTATGAATAATGGTAGGCTATTAAAGAAATAATAATAGCCACTAGCTCTTTTTGTGGGATGCCAGAAATTCATCCCACCAGGGACTTAGGGACCCCTACGTCTCTCTTCTCAAATTAGCAGTAGCAGGCTGTCTTGGAGGCTCTAACTGTCATTGTGACACCCCGTCTACCCTCACTGTGGTGGTTTCTTGGGCTAAGGCAGGGTCCCCATAGCTGCTTTAATACTGATGCAAAAAACCTGATCCTAGAGTGAGGAAGGGACCAGCTCAGGGTCATTTGACATCAGGGGCACAGCTGCCCCAACCTCCTGGGGTCAGGCTAGAGCAGTGATGGCGAACCTTTTGAGCTCAGCGTGTCAGCATTTTGAAAAACCCTAACTTAACTCTGGTGCTGTGTCACATATAGAAATTTTTTGATATTTGCAACCATAGTAAAACAAAGACTTATATTTTTGATATTTATTTTATATATTTAAATGCCATTTAACAAAGGAAAATCAACCAAAAAAATGAGTTCGCGTGTCACCTCTGACACGTGTGTCATAGGTTCGCCATCACTGGGCTAGACTGTTGGTGATTCATCTATAGCAGATGGTTGCTTAGCAACCAACATTAAGGCCAGGTGACACGCTCTTTTCTGTCAAAGGGTCTGGGCATGAGAGGGCACCAGCCCACAGCAAATTAGATTCTGAAATACTTAAAGGAACACATCGTATTTATTAAAACTAAAATGCAGATTCGTTTCATACTAGTATTTTACAGGCAACATCAGACACTTGGTTCCATGTCTATACTTCCTTTCACAACCCCGCAGTTAGTAGTCGTCCTTGCTGGGGTGGACGCTGGTCACTAGTAAAGATCACAAAAATTGCACTGAGAGTAGGCCCTAACCGTTTCTGAAGCATTCCCCTCTGTTCTATTGGTCCGTGCAGCCACCATGTGGCCCACACATGAACATGTAATCCCCATGTTAGCGACGAGGAGACAGATGGTTCTAGAAATGCACTCATTCTGATACGCTGACTCTGGACTCAGTGCTCCCTGGGTCGTGCTGCAGCTTCCTCCCAGCTGCCCTGGGGGCTGATCTGGACCAGAGCCTCAGGTTTCCTCCCTCCAGCAGTGGCTCCATACCTGGAGCTAGTCAAAGGCGGCGGTAAGTCCTGCCTGTACCACCTGTGAGAGGACTGGCCGTGATGATGTCTGCTTTCCGACAGGAGCAGGATCCCCACTAGTCAAGCTTGGAGGAAGGAGACGGATGAGCAGATGAAGGAGAGGCTGGCACTGGATGGGTCCAGCAAGGCCCAGCTTTGGGGGTCAGAAGTGGGAGGAGTCGGGGTTCTACACTAGCCAAGCATGAACACGTCAGGTGGGAAATCGCCCGAAGGGAGCTGTGTCTACAGGTCAGGGGCAGGGGTGGTGCAGAATCATATGTAGGCTGCTGCTTATGTGGGAAGGAAAGCAAAAATTGACATTGGCTCCTCTGGAGGCCATATCCATGACCTTCTCCTGGGCTGAGCTGCTTAGCATCTCAGGGTCCTCAGCTCTGGACTTACTCATGGTTGTCCATTTTGTTTTTAGGAGAAAAGAATCATTCTTGCTTTTTAAAAATTTTCATAGGAATTCAGTTTCTTCTAAGACTGTGCTTTTCTGTCATACCTAAGATAGGACATCCCAAAGTTTGGAATGCCTAAAACTTTGTGATTGTGGGATCAGGAAATAGTCCGCTGCTCACTCACGCCATTTTGGCCAAACGACCTCCCAAGACCTGTCTCTGAAGCGTTTCCCGACACTCTGATAATAAATAACCCTTCCCGGAGGGCTGCTGCATTCGCCTGCTACTTAGGTCTCCAATTCCATTGCTTTTGAAAAGTAGATCATTTTAAAAGTTAGGCTGTGCTATTACACGCTTGTGCTTTCTGTTATATTAAACCTTAACTTTAAAAATCCTTGTTTACCTAGATGAGGAGAAAAGGCGACCTGATATTTTCCATGCATTGAAAATGGGTAAGTGCTTTAGAAAATCTTTTGGGCTATTTAAGTATGCAGTGCCACATTCTCCCGACCTAATAGCTGTAGTCCTCTTCAAGGTCACCCGGAGCATTTGAGAAAGAAACAGGTGTTTTGTTGTTTCCTGACTCTAGTTTCACCCTGGAGGCTGGTTGTTATTATGGTGACTCACCAGCCGATTCCAGCCTGCCCTCCCAGGCTCCTCCACCTCTCCAGACAAACCCTGTGGTTAGGTCCTGGCTTTTGCCTACCTCTGAAATGCCAGCCTGCCCACCTACCTGCTTCAGTATTTTTGTGATGTAGAGCTATTTAGGTTAAAATGTCCTCTTCTGATATAGACCCCACCTCCAGGAAGCCTTCCCTGATCCTCAACGACATGAACTCTCCTGCATGGTCATTGCCCTTTCTCTGTTTCCTTCATCTGTCCTCTTAAGATACCAACATTTCTCTCTTTTAGGAAAGCTATTTGTATGGTTGTCTCTGTCCTTTATAGACTGAAGGATTTGAGGGGGGGCGGAGGAGGGCGGCTACCTCCTACTCATCTTTGGAGCTCCTATGGTGCCCAGCAGCCCACTACAGAAGCAGGCTCAGCAAGTGTTTGTTAAGTGAACCCACTGGATACATAAGCCTGTGGTGCCAGGCCCATGGATGATTGCTTCTGTTTGTAGGAAACTTCCAGTTGGTCAAAGAGATTGCTGACGAAGACCCCAACCACGTGAACCTGGTCAATGGGGACGGGGCAACCCCCCTGATGCTGGCAGCCGTCATGGGGCAGCTGCCGCTGGTGCAGCTGCTGGTGGAGAGGCATGCCGAAGTTGACAAGCAGGACAGCGTGCATGGCTGGACGGCCCTCATGCAGGCCACCTACCACGGGTCAGTGCCAGTCCCACTTTCTCCGCGGCAAGGCTGCTAGGATGCTCAGGCTGGGATAGGGTTCCTGATGGGGCTCACTGGTCCTGAGACCTACAGACAAACCCCACGGCTGTGAAGTTGTTGGGCCGTGCAAAAAAGACTGAAGAAGTACAGGCTCATTCTTTCCTGCGTTCCCGCCCTCCTGTGTCCAGATTTCCCATGACTTCGTCACAGAACTTCACCAGTGGCCATGCACACCAGGCAGCAGAAACTTTTTAGGAATAAGTTTCTGTAGGTTGATTTCAGTTGAACAGGGTGATTGGTATATTTGGGGTTTGTTTTCTTATTTGATGAGTTTCAACTTCCACCTCAACACCTTGGCCTCTGGGAGGCTTCCCTGTGCGGGGTCCTGATCTGGGTGGGGGGAGTGGGGCCTTGTGTAGTCTTGGTGGCCAAGTGGTTTGGGGGCAGAACCCTCGGTGTTCATTTTGTCAATGGAAGGAGCACTTGGGCTTTGATTTCCTTCACGTTCTTGTCTGACCTGCCCACGGGGTAGGGGACGAGCCAGGTGAGACTGTTTGCAGCTCCCCACGCTCTTCTTGCACACTCGGAGACGGGGCGCTGTAGTTAATATCACGTCTTGTTGCTCAGGAGCAAAGCCATGCTTTTGTTTTCCATGGGTCTACCTCTGGCTTTCTCTTTCCTCCCCAGGAATAAGGAAATTGTCAAATATCTGCTAAACCAAGGAGCTGATGTCACTCTTCGAGCAAAAAACGGGTACACGGCCTTTGACCTAGTGATGCTGCTGAGTGATCCTGGTGGGTTGTTTCAGGGAAAGGGACCTGCATGGCCTTTTTCAGGCTGGGACTCCAGATAACCACCTGTGTTTTAAGCACTTGCTCATTCAAAGGGGAAGCCACTCTCAAGCCCCAAGAGCTCACCACATGGCTTTCGGCAAGTCACCCCCTTCCCAGCAAGGGCTGGGCTGGGACCAGGCGTCCCTGAGGCCTCTCCTCGCACCAGCCTCTGGGAGCCTGGAGGAGGGAAGGCCAGCAAGGCGTGTGTCTGCCTTGGCAGTCCACACAAATCCTAGAATTTTATCTGTGCTTCATAGCCAGGAATTCTGAGGGCCTCAGGAGGAAACAAAAAGGCCCTCTGACAGCAGAGTTAGAGGTGGAGCAGTGTCCCCTCAGGCAAATTGTGTAGGTGGAGGCTGTCCGGCCAAGGGTGCCATACTGGAGGCACCTCTATTACCAGCTCGCCTCTCTAGGTCTCCAGCCGGCACCGTGCCCCCCCTAGGCCCCTCCCCAGGTGTGATAGGCCCTCCTCTGTGACCTGCAGTCTCTAATGAGCCAGCTCAGCAGGGTCTCTCTGTTTATAATCCCGGAGTTTTGAGCCCAGAGAGGGAGAGGCTGAGAGGCTCTCCCAACCCCCAGGCTTTGAGCCCTGAGCCAGATCCCAACCTGCTGGCCGTGGGGGAAAGGTCTTTTACCTCCCAGTCCCAAGTTGGGTTACTCCCGCTGCCAGTCCAAGCTACCGGGTGGCAGGCCAGAGTGTCCTTTCTCATCAGCAGCATTGCCACCCTACCCGCTCCTCCCCCCACATCACACACCTGCTTGGTTCCATTTCATCCTCCTGGGGCGGGAGGGAAGCAGAGCTTCACACCATCTTACGGAGGGAGGTGACCGAGACCAGGGGAAATTACTTGACCCAGCGGGAGAGATGGGCCCTCTGCCCAAGTCCAGTGAGCTCACTCCTGTTGTTCAGAGTGAGTCTCTCTGCGACCCTAGGCTGGATGGCCCAGGCTTTTCTGACAAACTTCGTCTCTCACTGTGCCTCTTCTCTCTCACTCCTTGCCCATTTCCCCTCTCTATTTCCCTATAAAATAATCTATTTCTAGTGATTTTTTCCCCCAGTGGGTTTTTTAATGAAGTTTTCTGCCTGAAATTTTCCAAGAAACACATGCTTATTATTGAACTAGAGGCCCAGTGCACAAATTCATGCACGGGTGGGATCCCTCGTCCTGGCTGGCAATTGGGGCTGATGGGAGGGAGGACGACCAAGGGGAGGGACCACAGGAGGTCGGCCGGCTGTGGGGAGGGGCTGCAGGAGGTTGGCTGGCTCGGGGGGTGGGGAGGACTGCGGGTGGTTGGCCAGCGGGCCCCCCCAATCCGGGCTGATGCAGGGGCCAGTCAGCCAGGGGGGAGAGACTGTGGGAGGTTAGCTGGCTGGTCACGGAGAGGGACTGTGGGAGGTTGGCTGGCCAGCTGGCTCCCCCAGTTGGGGCTGATGGGGGGCGGGGGTGTCAGCCGACCACAGGAGGTTGGCTGTGGGAGAGCACTGACCATCAGGGGGCAGCTCCTGCATTGAGCGTCTGCCCTCTGGTGGTCAGTGCGCGTCATAGCAACCAGCCGACCAGTCATTCAGTTGTTCGGGCACTTAGGCTTTTCTATATATAGATACTTGGAGAAAAGAAAATAAACAGGCATCAAGAGAAAAGCACTGTTAATAGTTTTCAGTAATTTCTTCTTGTTTCTTGCTTTTTCTATAACCTAGTTGAATTAATAACTAATAATACTTGACTTTTCTTACGTGCTTTCTGTATTTCAGGAATTCCCTTGAATCCTCCAGACACCTTTATGGAGGGGCACCACAGTTGCCTCTTTACACAGGCACAGAGAGGGTCCTTAATTTACCTGCAGAGAGGTACCTCTGTCACCAGCCCCCCTCTCTTCGTGTCCAGAGAGGGCCTGGGGCAGACTTGGAGCCTCTGCCATCTGGCTGCAGAGCCCGTATGTTTTAAACAATACACTCTGCCTTCCTGTGGGAAGAGAGCTTCTGTTTTTTCTTTCTGGTTAAGTGGGTTCAGTGCTGCTGGACTTTTTGCCTTTTTTTTTTTTGGCACCTTGATCATAGAATAACAAAGACTCTGGAGCTGCAGGGCTGAATTCTCAGGCTGACAGGGGTCATCTTAGGCCCAGTCCCCATAGCCCAACAGACATATTTGCAGGTAAAACGCTGCCTTTTGTGCCCATAGACACGGAACTTGTTCGACTGCTGGCATCTGTCTGCATGCAGGTGAATAAAGACAAAGGCCGGCCCAGCCACCCGCCACCCCTGCCCTACTCGAAGGTCCGACAGCCCTGGAGCGTCCCAGTGCTGCCCGATGACAAAGGCGGGCTTAAGGTTTGCCTTTTCTTGTCTTAAAAGGCTTCTGAGAGTCAGATGGATGAGGATGCCTGCCACTTCCTGTTAACCTAGGGCTTGTTTAGGCTTAGGGGTGGGGTGGGGTGGGGTGGGCTTGTGGGGGGGGGAAGTAAGATGGGGATGACAGTAGGGAATGATGCGGACTGGGGAAAACTGGGGTGATCATAACCACTTAGTGACATCAGTGGCTGCTTTGCAAGAATATGGGTCCTTGTTACCAGATCTTCCCCCGCTTTTTTTTTTCCCAGAGGAAACTAGAAATCCAGATTTTGATGTGGAAACTCAATTTATAAATGTAGGGAACTTTTTAAACTTCTGCGTGATGTAGTCCTGAGCTAGTCGAAGGGAACACCTCTGCTCCCACCCAGGCCATCTGCTTTCGTGTGTAGAACATTCTGGTTGTGCCGTTCTGGGGTCTCCCTGTGGCCCACAGGCCCCCATCAGCTTCTTCCTAGAAACACCAAAACCATGCTCCCGTTGCTTATTTCTAACTGCAAGCCTGGTATTTTTCTTTGAGTTTCTCATCCTCCCCATCTGCTCTACTTATTTGAAATCAAACTAATTCTCTCCCAGCCGCCCCCTTCCCCC